AAAATAATTCAGAGAAGGGGCTTGATGGCACATGCTTTTAACCTCAATACTTGGAAGGAAGGTGGTTCCCTGTGAATTCCAGGCCAGCCCGATCTACCCAGTTAGTTTCAGGCTACCCAAGAGCAACAAAGTGAGACCCAGCCTCACAATAATAGCAACAACAACAATAATAATTCATTGCATTACCTAATTCAACAATACCCAGTATCATGGAGTGCTGTGATAGGTGTTCCTAATGATAAAATACCCCATCAGAGTAGCAGTCAAAAATCATACAGAGGAAAAATTTACATACTTCTCAACACCCCACCCCAGTTTTTGGAGACAGGGTTTCTCTGTGTAGCCCTGGCTGTCTTGGAACTCACTCTGTAGACCAGGCTGGTGTCCAACTCAGAGATCCACCTGCTTCTGCCTCCTGAGTGGGTTTAATGGCATGGACCACCAAGACCCAGCAGATATTGACTCCACTCTTCATTCGTGTAATATGAAAAGGATGAAAAATACAACCAACCCCAAGGCAAAAACAAAGGCTTTGACATTGTTGGTGGCACTTCAAGGCACAGTTTAGCCTCTAAATTTCAAAGCAAACCTATAAAAGTCTACTCAACTACAAAACATCCCTCTGTTGACAAGGGGGAAATGTTCCAAGCTGAAGAATCTGTAATAATCTTCTTACGGCTTTTCTGACAGAAGCTTTCATCATCTTATTCTACATACAATCCCTGGAGGAGTATGCCATTTTCATTTCTTTGACAACTAAGATCACCTAGCCATGCTCCATGTTATGATCTATTCATATGAGCTCTGGTTCTCCAAATCTGTGATGTTCTCTTATCTACCATATTCTGATTCCTATCTTTTCTTTGGATAAGAGTCATCTCTTTCTGGAAGCTTCCACTGGCCAACCTCAACTCTTAAGTCCCAAGTTCCCTGCCTCCCACAGCACATAGGACTTACCTTTACAGTCTTTATAGCAACAGAAACCCTAAGACAGGCACAATTAAACACATGGTTGGTATAAAGCTCATTGCCTACCATAAAAAAAATAGAAAGTTTCACTTACATATCTGTATGTCACTCCAAGTAGGAAAGTAACTCTCTAATCACCCATGTATTTTTTAAAAATAAATTCTCACATGGAAGAATGCAAGTAACTATAACCACACCACTTGCTGAATTTCCTTAAACCTATTTTATAGGAGTGTTGAGTTAATTCTGCTTCCTCTGCCCTGATGTTAACATCTAAGGAGGTCAGAAGTGGTGTGTACACAAACACCATCTTCCAGAAGTGGTGCTGCCACTTTTAAGTCAAAGGTCTATATGCAGAATCTTTAAAGCTACTCTAAAATGTCAAGAAGAAAAAGTCTAGTTCAGAAAGAACAAAGGGGGACCTGAAGAGATGGCTCACTAGTTGACTTGCTGCTCTTTGCAGAGGACTTGAATTTGGTTCCAAGCACTCACATGGCAGTGGATAACCAACCATCTGTAACTCCAGTGCCAGGGCATTCAATACAGCTTCTGACCTTCTCAGGAACCAAGCAAGCATGGTTGGGTTTTCTTATATACATGCAGGCAGAACACTGGTACACATAAAATTAAAAAAGAAAATTAAGAAAGAAAATGGTATCCAGATAGAGGGAGGAATCTATCCTATGGAAGTGAGCCCCTTGAAGATAGAAATCACACACACACACACACACCCCCACAACCACACACACACACACACACACACACACACTGACCACTTATAAGGTAAATACATGGTCTTTTGGGCGACAGACTCAGCCTTCAAAACCCAGAAAGCAGGCAAGTGAAAAATAAAAAACTGCTGAGTTGGAAAAGGCTCTGTTGTTTCTCAATCACTCTGATGAAAAAAGTAGGAATGCCCACCCCTTCCGAGTGGTGGCAGGATTCTGTAACACCAGCTATTTGGGAGGCTGAGGCAAAAGGATCTGTCTCTTACTTTAAAAATGCATAACTCTCTATTGCACACTTGAGCAACTGCCCTCCCTCCAAGTTGATAGAACAGCAGAGACAATATAATTTGAAAAGTTTCAGTTCACTAGGTTCATCAATAGGCAGCAATATAATCTAAATAGTTTCAATTCACTAATACATTAACAGACTAAAAATCAGAAAGGGGCTAAGTGTTCCAAGAGTTTAAGGACACTTTTCCTTCTCTTTACATACAACTCATTCCTAAGCATGGTTGATCTAATTTAACTAACTCACATGCTTTTTCTACCCCAACAACTAAGGCAGTTACTTGTGACAATAATACAGCTTCTGCATTAGAAAGGCTATTTTCATCAGAATGTGACTGACTTCAGTAAGACACTGACAACATTCTAAGCGCTTCCTTTCAACCAATAATGATCCTTGCAACTTTTAGTGCCAACTTTACAGTGAACGGTTCTGAAACCTAGGCTCATAGACTCAGTAGGATCTACAGAAAAATCAACAACACTTCACAGTCCCATCTGTACAAAGACCAAGGTTAAGACACACCAGAGATCAAAAAGGCCAATGGAAGTCAGCATCATGGTGGGTGGTACAGTACTTGTGAAGCAACATTCATTCCTGAGAATGTAACTTCAGCGTGGCCAGTGGAACTACATGTAGTGCACTGTAGTCTGACAGAGTACACTTCTCCCTTCACTGGTGTCAGATGTACCATGTGGTCTGCAGACTTTATTAACCCCTCAAAATATTGCTGCTGCCTTCTCTCTCATGCTGTCTAGGCATTTACTGCCTTCAACAAAACTTTTACACTTCTAAACCCTTCTTGGGGTCACTTTTAGAAAAGCTGAAAAATATATATTTGCATTACTAGCGTTTCCACAAAACCTTTACATAAGTAGGAGACTTAAGAATCTTCTAGTCATTACCAGAGTAGCCCTACTCCAATACAAAATTGCATCTCTTTAGATAATGACTTCTTAGAATTCACCAGTGGCATAAAGTCCTCAGAAGCTTATTTCATGGATATCATCAATACTTTTGAGATTTCTCTAGGGTACAAAAAAAACTCACTAAGGGTAAGTGGTAATGGTATGGAGAAAATAAGTTCATGCAGCCAGATCAACAAGACAAAGAATGTAAAAGGCAGTCCCTCAATCTGGCCTGCAAATATATCCCTGATTCATGCTAGATACATCTTATGCATTTATATAACACTAACCATAAACATTTTTGTCTGAAAAGTTATCTAACAGGGAGAAGCTAGAGTTGTCAAGCAAAAACAACCAAAACAAAATCCTATTCCAATATAAATAAATGCCCTTTCATATTCATGAGAGGAATTAAAAAAGAGCTGCTATGAGATTCAAAGTCAGTTCATAAGTGTGCCAGTAAGAGATAGTGTGCAAACATTATTTTGGTGTTACAACACCCCAATCTCAGCAGCAACTGTAGCGTTCAATTAAGGAATAGGTGAGATGCTGAAGTAGAAATAAATCCTGAAGACCATGTGAGATTCCAGGCACACTACAATACTTGTTCAAAATTGTCTGTTCCACTGCTAACATCTGGGTCACATGTATAAATATGATGGTGTCAATCTGCCCCTCTCTTCTGGTAGGACATCCAAAGGTTGATTTAGCACTGTTTTCCAATCAGTGTGGTAATAAAACATTGTTATATAATAAGCAGAAAAGGGTTATTTAGAGTTCCCTTGAAATTCTGAATGAAGGGGGGGAAAAGCCAAAATAATTTCTTTTGGAAGCTACCCTTTTTTTTGTTCTTTATACTGTTAAATTCTCAATGGCAAAGAAATTAAGCCCACTTAGTTTACTGACACAGTCATAGTTGCTTTTTACCAAGCATGACAACAAGGCAATTGAGTAGCTTTCCAAACTACCAGAGCAGAGGCGTACCTTGCATAGGCTGGCATTAAATCAGCACTTCATAAATCAATCGTGCCCATTTAGATGATCTCTATGCAGAATCGGCAGTCTAACACTAGCTCTCACACACATTAAAAATCATCACTCTGCTAGTCCAACTCACTGTTCAGATGGGTCTTCTTGAATGCAGCATTTATTACAACCTCATTGTTGCTTCCTACACTGAAGGAATACCAAATTCTTAAGTCGGAGTTCTTCTTTCTCAATTTATTGTAAACAGGGGGTCCTGTAACGACCCTGACACTGTTACAAAGCACAGTGCTTTTTAACAGTAAAGCTTCTGGAAAACCCAAACAAAAGACACGTCACCCGGTGACGTCAGCCTATATACAGTTCTGTGTGGTCGCAGCACATAAGCAAATCCATTCTTGTGCAGTTTCTCGGAAAAGCTTTTCAGTAAATGCACTCATGCTGCTCCAGAAGCTCTTCTCTGCAACAAGCCGCCCATCTGCCATCAACAAGTTAAGACCGAGAGAACTAACAGCTGCGGTAAGGAAAGCCTGACGCTGATGGTCAGCAGTAATCAGAGGAGGAGGAGATTATTAACTTATAATCAAAGCTGATGTAGGATCAGAGCACCACAGAAAATGAAACCGATGCTATCCAGAGGAATATCCTAAGGAAAAACCAATTCACCCTGGCAGATTTGGATTTTACTTGGAAAGCCTGGGGCACAGACAACAGGAAACCGGTCAAAGGCTCCTGCATGTTAGAGCCTTTTACAGACTCACTGCGTTGAGTCTGACAACCTCGACTGAATGCAGCCTCCAATGTGCTCAGAAGAATGGGTAAGTCTATGCATTTCTATGGTATTTCTTGTACAATCAAAGAGGAATCACGCTTTATAAAACAAGTCAGTGAATTCCCATTTTATGATGCAAATCACTTGTTTCGGGATTTTAAGATTTATATAAAGGCATATAACACTAAGGAAAGAGACATGCTTAAATCTCTTTTATACGTGGTTTAAGTTTTGTGTTCCAGTATACAAGGTTAATTTTTCTGCAGTAAATGAAAAATGTTACATGCAATGAAATCTTTCATTATGATGTTACATTGTTGTTGTTTTCAACAGCCCCTGTGTTCTGCTGAAACATATCCTATCTTCTTGTTTTCCTTAAATTATATTCTGCAGGCTTACATTTCAAGTGGCCATTAGGGGCCCCTATGCTGGCAGCAATATATGCAATGAGTGTGGTTTTAAAAATGCTGCCTGCCCTGGGTATGGCGTGTCCACCCAAATGCCGCTGTGAGAAGCTGCTATTCTACTGCGACTCTCAGGGCTTCCATTCAGTGCCAAACGCCACTGACAAGGGTTCTCTGGGCCTGTCCCTGAGGCACAATCACATCACAGCGCTTGAAAGAGATCAATTTGCCAGCTTCAGTCAACTCACCTGGCTCCACTTAGATCACAATCAAATTTCAACAGTAAAAGAAGATGCTTTCCAAGGACTATATAAACTTAAGGAGTTAATCTTAAGTTCCAACAAAATATTTTACTTGCCAAACACAACTTTTACCCAACTGATTAACCTGCAAAATTTGGACCTGTCTTTTAATCAGCTGTCATCTCTGCATCCTGAGCTCTTCTATGGCCTTCGGAAGCTGCAGACCTTGCATTTGCGTTCCAACTCCCTGCGGACTATCCCAGTACGCCTGTTCTGGGACTGTCGTAGTCTAGAGTTTCTGGATCTGAGCACAAACCGTTTGCGAAGTCTAGCTCGAAATGGATTTGCAGGATTAATCAAACTGAGAGAGCTTCACCTAGAGCACAACCAGCTGACAAAGATTAATTTTGCTCATTTCCTCCGGCTAAGCAGTCTGCACACACTCTTCTTACAATGGAACAAAATCAGCAACTTAACGTGTGGGATGGAGTGGACCTGGAGCACTTTAGAAAAGCTAGACCTAACTGGAAATGAAATCAAAGCCATCGACTTAACAGTGTTTGAAACCATGCCTAATCTTAAAATACTCCTCCTGGATAACAACAAGTTAAGCAGTCTTGATTCCAAAATCTTAAACTCCCTGAGGTCCCTCACAACCGTTGGCCTCTCTGGCAATCTGTGGGAATGCAGCTCCCGAGTATGTGCTCTGGCCTCCTGGCTGGGTAGTTTCCAAGGTCGGTGGGAGCATTCCATCCTATGCCATAGCCCTGACCACACCCAAGGAGAGGATATTCTAGATGCAGTCCACGGGTTTCAGCTCTGCTGGAATTTATCAACCACTGTCACTGCCATGGCTACAACTTATAGAGAACCAACCACTGAATATACAAAAAGAATAAGCTCATCAAGTTACCATGTAGGAGACAAAGAAATTCCAACTACTGCAGGCATGGCAGTTACCACAGAGGAACACTTTCCTGAACCAGACAATGCCATCTTTACTCAGCGAGTAATTACAGGAACAATGGCTTTATTGTTTTCTTTCTTTTTTATTATCTTTATAGTGTTCATTTCCAGGAAGTGCTGCCCTCCCACTTTAAGAAGAATTAGGCAGTGCTCAATGATTCAGAACCACAGGCAGCTCCGATCCCAAACTCGACTCCATATGTCAAACATGTCAGACCAAGGACCGTATAATGAGTATGAACCCACCCATGAAGGACCTTTCATCATCATTAATGGTTATGGACAGTGCAAGTGTCAGCAGCTGCCATACAAAGAATGTGAAGTATAATATCTCATCATCAAAAATCACATCAGATAAGTAACCTATTTTACATAGTAGGGGCTAAATACATATCTAATTTTTACCAATGGTGACATTAAGCCTAATTTTCCAAACCAAGTGGAGACTTGAGTTTTTGAAGTGTTGAAGTATTTTTAATTTTTTTAATGAAAACATATTTTAAGTGTTAAATGAAGCAATGATCATATTAATTTGCACTCTTGTTGGAAAGTCTAAATGCTTACTTCAATATAAAACATTTCATGTATGTAATTATATACTATTGTATGTAAACATTTACACTAAGGTCTCCATATGTTATTCTTTTTTCTACTGAAAACAGTTCTGAAAGAAGCTACTAAACAAAAATAGATAGGGATGAAAACCTGTTTGATTATTATTCTCCATCCCATGGACCACAACCAGCTTCCTGCTAAAAAGGAAACAGCAAAGTTCTCTTGTATGATATTTACTCAAACTATAATTTACTGCCAGTATGAGGAGGAGGCTTACATGTGTGCTTAAGACTGGTAAATATTAAACATTATTCTTTCAGAGTTTGGCCTGGTTTAATAGACATTATCTAAGTTACATCATGAAACCAGCACCTTTTATATAACTCCAATAAAACTGGGTGACTCTTTAATTTTCAACAATAAGTCAAAGCAATTATTTTAAAAAGCCTCATTATAATAAATCAATACTAAATAATTACACTGACTTCTTATACAATTCTAGTTTGACTTATAATGGACAGGCTGATTTTGTGGCATTTAGACTATTGTTTTAAACTAGTATTAAATTACCATTTTACTAATTATCTTACTAAATCCTATACTTATGTGAAAATTTGCATTTGGGAAAGAGAAAGTCAACCTAACAATCCTGATATACTCCATCAGGTCTGGAGTATATACATACCCTCTTCATAATTAAAGATGCCTTGACAAAGTGTTTAAGTTTCTTCCTTCTGCCCTTTTCTGATCTTTAAACCTCAAAGACCCACATTAAAAATAATCAGGTACTAAAGACACCTAACACTGATTCTTGTTATATTATAAAGATCAAGAAAAATTACTTTCAAAATATGTTAAAGCTTGCCCTTTAGTAAAGATACACATTTATATTTCTAGCTCCTTCTGAGACAGGCAGAACTCTTGACATAGGCCCTGCAGCCACACAACAGTAAGTGAAGGCAGTGTGAAAGTGAGGGGTAAAGATCAAAGAAAGACTTTGGAAGCCCAAAGACTCTCAGGTTAGTGGAAGTTTTGAAGCAGCAAATGTGATTATGTACAATTTGCACCAAATAAGCAATGCTCAGGGACCTGTATGATACAGAAGGAGGCTCTTTGATGTAAATATGAACACTCTGATCATAGTAACAAATGACAATGATGCCACATTTTTTCATGAAGTGTTCAATTATGACTTCTTTAAGGCAAATGATGGCATATGGGGAATTTAGACTCATTCAAGTAGAATTGTTCTACAAAGAAGGTTCCACATACAGGAGCAAACTAAAATTAAATCAGTAATTTGATTTCAGGAAGAAAAAAAAACAAACAAACATAGATCCTTAAAGAAAGTCACTAACATAAAAAGAAAGGCATCCTTTCCTTAACATGTATGTTTATCTTATATCCTTCACTCAAAGCTTATTTTCTCCCTAAGATTGAACTGAAATGTTCAGTCACAATTTTCCCCCGTTAGCACTGAAAAAAAAAACACCCACATTTCAAATCTTTTAGCAAAAAAGCAGACAATATTCAGGTTACAGTGAAAATATATGCTCTTTATATTTTTTTCAAGGTGGGTAGATTAGTGTGACTAAGCCTCAGAGCAGTTCAGTCAGTTGATCTTGAGTGGCAAGCATTTCATCTGATAACCCTCTGAGACGCTGGGCTTGTCTGAGCCGAGACAGATGCTGGTTTTCTGGCATAGAGCACAGCACGCTCCTTCCCCACCGAGGTGGGCTAGAATTTACCAACTCATGTACCGTGGTGAACACTGCCATTTGTCAGGTGACAGACAGCTTGTTCACAGTACAGCTTTGAGCATCCAAGACTCGACTGGCCCTAAAGGATGAGTGTTATTTTCATCATTTCAATTCATAACCAAAATTAATTCAAACTGTGAGTTAAAAAGTAAGCAATATTAACTAGGAACTCCAATTAATCCTAAAGGCTATAGTTAATAAAGTATATGTAGCAGAGCAAGACATTTAGCACCTGAAAAGAGCAGTGCCAAGGCCACAGAGGCATGCTGGGGGTGGGTGGGAGGGGGGACCACACACTTTTTGTTTATTTTTTTCCTTCCATGTTTCTGGTAATGGTAATGCCAACCAGGTATTTTCCTTTCCTACTTAAAGCACAAATTGCCATTTCTAACTGCCTACAGAAAGCAGGGTTCCATTTAGTTGATATGTATTTGTGTTGCAGTGTCTGTGCTACCAACTGGCCAGAGTAGAACTGCCTCCCAGCAAAACCATAACAAAATTCCTAAGTCCTAAATGTGAAGGCTTTTAGGTGGGGTTTTACTCTCTTAAGCATTACCACCCAACTTCCCCTTGCCCCAATTTTAAAGATTAGAAAATGACCATCACAAATCACAAAACTATTCTCTTAGAAAAATGAAGTGTCTATCGAGGAACTAAGAACAATTTGAAACTACAGTTACTCATTTCTGTAGCCTACAGAGAATTCAAATTTATCTTTCTGAGAGTGGCTTGTAAATCTGAAAACCCACATAAAACTCATAATACTGCCGGCATCAAAAACCTGACACTAAGCCCCCCCAAAAAAACTGTATTACTACATATAATTTCTTAATGAGTCTAAGTTAATTTCTGCACCAATTCAATGAATAGAATTGACTGAACTTCCTAAGTCCACTCACTAATTATTAAAATCAATCTGCTTATTATAAATCTAGTCACTTAAAGCTAGACCCCATCTTTCCAGTAAAAGCAAGCTCTACATAGCACTGGTCTGAATTTTAAAATATAAAGGTATTATTATCTTCTTAAGTCATAATCCCCACACGTAGCTATGTAGTGGGTGGGACTACAAATCTCCCTCTCTCATAAAGATAATTTCTGAGAATATTTTAACAGCTAACTTACACGATAGTTTTCCTAATACAGCAATCCAATGGTAGCACTTATCTCAAGTCTGTTTAGGACACATTTTTCATATCTTCTCAGTTAAAATTCTTGAACCAGAAAAGATGAGTTTTTGGTTTTTGGTTTTGTTTTTGTTTTTAGACAACATGGGCCATCTATAGATAATAAATATTTCTTTAGCTAACTTGGGGCAAACTCATAGCGCCTGAATAAAGTCAAAAGCAGAAAATGACCACAGAAGCTTTCTCATTCTACTACTGCAGACATCTGGAAACAACTCCAACTCCTTCAACTAACCTTTTCATCCCTGAGTTTTAAAATCAGTGTGATACATGGAATGTTTGGTGAACCTATGAACACTGAGACTGGAAACTCAAGTACAGTTCAAACACATTTGTTCAATTACCTTTAAGAGCCATGGGGGTGGGGGGAATAAAAAGAAAATACTATTATACAAGGAATTGGGGTGGGGAAACCATAATACAGTGTACAGGAAAGTTTTGTTATTAAAATTGTGTATACTGTAAAAAACAAAAAATGTCTCCTTTGTTTATAATTATAATTTTCCCCTGGAATCTGCAAATACTGACAGGAGAAACCTGAATAAGGTATTTGAGACAGAAGTAAAATGAACAACTGTTCTGTACCATGCTACTTCTCAATGTCAAACCTGTCTGCTGAAAAAGGGGCAGCTAATCATTACTTGTTTTTTCACAGAAACAAAATTTGACTAAGAAATGGGGTTGGGGTGGGGGTGGGGCGGTGACAACAAACAACAAACCACACTCAAATGCTGCCACTCAATTACTAGTTGTCACAGCCTTAGCAAATGGATAGAAAGTAGGGCTCACAAGCCCTGGGGTTGGTTGTTCCTCTCAATTCTCCTAGTACAACAGACTACCACAGCCTGAAACAGTTGAAAAAGACACCGTGGTACCTGGACTTAATAAACTGAAATTTGGCTGCTACTTTAATGTATAAATGCCAGGATCACCTTGCATACCACTCCTACCTGCAGTCCACAGGTGCTAACCATGCTAGGAATGTATGACCTCTACCCTAGTTGCTAAGCTCAGGAGGTATGAATGAGAATAGGAAAGGCTGGTTTACTGGTGATTTTGTTTGGCTTAAATACCCCCAGACAGGATGCCATGCCTAGGCAGTGTTAGGGCAGAAACTACTTTGCCTTCTAGGTACCAACTGTCAAGAATGATTCACCTTGCTTGAACCCCCTGCTTACCCAGCCCCAAGGCTGACAGAGTTGCTCACCTTGGGGCTGGAGAGATGACATTTACGACGTATCTACAAATACCCTAGTTTGGATCCCAGCACCACATAACAAGCCAAACATGTTACATGCATGTTATAAGTATGTTACACACCTGTAACCCCAGCACTACAAGTGGGAAGAAATAGGATCACTGGGGCTTGCAGGCTGTCAGCCTAGCAAAAACCCATTAGCTATAGATTCAGAAAGAAACTCTGCCTCAAAGAAGTCAAAAGCAGAGTGAGAGAAAAGGACAAGCCACAGTCTCTTCTGGCTCCATGTATGTGTGCACACAAATAGAAACTTGGCCTCCACTTCAGTGGAGAGATCTCAGCATCACATTGTAGACAACCACTAAAGTGTGTACTCCCTACATACACAAAGAAAAGCCAACTTCTTCCCAACACTCAGTGATTCTTGGGACCAGAGGCTATGAAAGTTCTCATGGCAGAAACCCAGTAACTACTGAGGAGGGAAGAGGAGGGAAGCACAGCATACACTATATGAAGAATAATTTTCATTGACACTAGATAGCGTCAGTAATGGTGATTTTACATTTTACAAAAGGAGCAAATTCCCATACTTTATGAAGCTAAAAATAGATCTTATTAATATAATTCT